ACTAATTGCAATAGTTTGTGGGTATCCCATAGAAGTCATAAACACTTCTTTTTAAAAACACTGAGCATTTAAAAAAAAAATAACTGTTAAGATAAAACTAAAAAATCATATATATATTAACATATACTCATTTATTATTGTTTATATTATCAATTAAATTATGTTTAATTTAAGAATTATCTTTCAATTTTTTAAATAAATAAATCTTCTAAGTTTCCCCTGCATACTTTCCAATGCACAAATTGCCTTGGTATAATTTTAAATTGGTTAATTTTAAGATTGCTGCGCACATTTTTTGGAATTTTCAGTAATTATTAATTTAACTTTGCTTTTTATTTATAAAACTTGAACTAGCTGGTGTTTAAACAAACAATAAATTAAATTATTTAAGTTTTGACTTATTATTTTTACAGTCATAAATTTATTGTAGTGTTTTTTAAATTATTTTCCCTATATGATAGTTTGATCCTTTCATTAAAACAGTGTTCATGGCTTTTAATGAGAATGAAAAAACTGAGAATTTGAAGACCAGAAATATTTCCAGATATTGCAATTTGCGATCACTTATTTCGCCCCTTGCTATATTAAAAGTTAGTTTTTTTTACAAAATTCCATGTTTTTATAAGGCATATTTAGTTTTTTTTCTTTATGCACATTATTTTTGTATCATATGGAAACATTTTACAATGTTTCTTATAATACTTTTCATGTTATGTCATAATGTTTACTTTTGTCTGTTTCTTATCTACAAATCTACAAGGTACCAAATAAATAATTTTGATTGATTAATATTTTAATAATATGGTTTTACAAAATGTTTTAGTTGGTTAAAATACTTTAAATTTATCATGATTTTCTGAAGTTTTTTTTTAACTTATAATTAGGTTAAAGAAAAGATTGAATCGGGTCAGCCACTAAGTGAGCCTAGCTATTGTCCAAGCAACATTTATGAAATAATGTTACAATGTTTCTCTTTTGAGCCTGGAAATCGACCATCATTTCAAGTTGTTAAAGATGAATTGTTAAAAGTAATTGAATTTCTTTTTTAATTTAAAAAAGTCTGTTAAAATAAACAAATTTGTATTTACTTGATTATTGATAATAATCTTTAATAACTTATTTTTTTAAAAACAAATTTGTAATAATTTTAATAATAACTAGTAATCTACCAAGAAGAAAACTAGTTAACAATGTGTTACTATAACATGTTAATTAGTTACTAACATGCTATAAAAACTTAAAAATTATTATTTATTGAGATCTTTTTTTATCAGTTTTTTTTACAAAAATACATATATAAATATTAGGGTAGATCGTCATTTTTTTTTTGTTCAAACATTGAATAGCAAAATAATGTTGCTCTAACATCTAAATATTATTAAAATAAAAAAAAAGTTAAAATTATTTTTTCCTTCCTTTGCCGCCTTCTAGTTAAAAATAACCCATTTTTGATATTAAAATATATGGAATGCAAAAGTATCTACAGTACGAAAAATGCAATAACTTTGTTGTTTTCTGGTCAAAATTTCAAGATTGTTTTAAAACTCAAAATTTTATACAGTAGCACACCTTTATAGCACACCAAATATTGGTAACATTTTTGGAAACTCTAGAAAAAATTGTGCTTGATTTAATAGTCCTAGAAAGTTGTAACTTAACAAAATAATAGTCCTGCATGAATTCCTTGTTGGGAGTTCATATGCCATAATCAGAACTAGTCAGCTGCGCTCTTGTAACAGCCATAGTTCTTGTAACAACCATAGTTCTTGTAATAGCCATAGTTCATATAACAGCCATAGTTCTTGTAGCAGCCATAGTTTGCCACAGAAATAGATTTAAATTCTATAAATCATATACAAATGGATTATTTGGTATAAATATGGATATTGGTAATCTTTATAATAATAATATAATAATCTTTATTATACTAATAGTGTAATAGTCTTTAAATTTAAAATTTAAATATTTCTACAATTTATTTTAAAATAAATAAATAATAATTTTAAAAAGTGCTAGTTAGAATTACTGCAATTTATATATTAATAAATAGTAAATTACTAAGTAATTTAAAACGATAAAATAACCTAAAATAAATAAAAAATGATAATTTAAAAATAACCTAAAATAAATAAAAAATGATAATTTAAAAATAACCTAAAATAAATAAAAAATAATAACTTAAAAGAGTTAGAATCACTGAATATATAATTAGAAAGTGGTTTATAAATCCAGCCATAGTTTTATCTCAGAAAACGTTTAAAAACTTATGATCAAATTAATAATTAATTACCAATAAAAAGTACAAAAATGTACATAAGTGAACAAAAAAAATAAGTGCCGTAGCAGAAAAAAAAAACCAAAACAAACTTGGTTGCTATTATATTTTACTTATATTATTTAATGATAACAACTTATTACAATTTAAAATAAAATTTAATAATTTTAGAACAAAAAATATTAAGTAATTTGATAATGATATAAAAAACCTAAAAATGCACAAATATGGTAAAATAAGGTCTTTTAGCAACAAATGAAGACAAAAAAAAAAAAATTTTTCTTTCCTTATTTAACTTATATTGCCCACAAGCAACAACTTACATTATTCAAAGTTAAACTTATATAACCAAATTACTAAGTAATTAAATTATGATAAAGAGCATAAAAATATACAAATATGATGATTTAAGACCCCCTGGCAGAAATGGAAGATACTAAAAAAATCTAAATATTTTTTCCCGTCTACTTTATATTATCCAGGAGCAACAAATTATTGCTATTCAAAGTCTTTTTTTTTTTTTAATGATATACCCTATTAGAAATATTTTTTTTAATTCTTTTGATTTTATTCAAAAATAAATAAAATCAAAAGATCTTTTTTTAAGTTTAATTTAATCTTTTTTTAAGTTAATCAAGACTGAAAAATGATTTTGATTATTTTACAGTCTTGATTAACCAGACTTTTAGTTCTGCAAGAAGCCAGTTTTTGATCTTTAAAAAAAACAGATTTTTATATTATAGTAATGCTGTTTAATAATAATTACACAGCATAATTACACGTAAATAAAAATAAATCTTTTAGTAATAGTATTTAATTTTAACAAGCAATGTTACATTTATGATATTTTAGCTTCTTAATTTATTCATAATTTTTTGTGATTATTTGCGTTCTAGTTTTAGTTCTTGGTGATAATTTGTGTTCTAGTGTAGTACTAATTTGTGTTCCAGTTTATTACTAATTTGTGTTTCAGTTTAGTACTATTTATATTCCAGTGTAGTACTAATTTATATTTCAGTGCAGTACTAATTTTTAGATCTAAGCACTTAAAAAAATTCAAATTAAAAATTTTGGTTTCAGTGTTCTAGTGTAAATTTTGACACATTTTTTTAAAACCTCTTACTTAGGCATTTAACATATGACTTGTTTACTCAGACAGTTAACGTGTGACTTATTTTTCCTAGCAAACCTAATCACTTACTTCACTCTTCAATTTATGTCTTCTCTCTGACACTAGTTTTTGCTCAGCTTCTCCTTAATCTTGTTTAGGTGGTTTAGACCTTTCTATGATTTTTCTAAAACCTTTATCCCTTACTTTTTCTTTAGACACCCTATTATTGCACTACTTATTACTACCATAAAGCTGACTGGAATTTTTTTGTGATTTACTTTGTGATGGTTGTTGGGTTGACATTGATGTGTTGTGTCTCAGTAACATCACTGATTTTTGTGCATCAGTGCTGATGTCTCTGCACTGATTACACTAATTGTGCCTCCTATTTCCTACGCTAATTGTGCTTTCTATTTAGTCTTCTGGACTCAAACAGGCAAGGAAGGTTTTATTCCTGCTCATTGCTTTTAAGTCAATCCTCGTTTTATTTCACGATTTTCAAGATTTCCATGGTTTTCACCTTCTTGTGCAGCTGCTGTTTCTAATTGTAATTTTTTTTTCATTTTATTCACAAAAACAACTCTCTTGATATTAAAAGTTTTTTTATTGTTGCAAGAAACCAATTCCAAAAGATGCTGTCTAGCGCTAAGCTCAATCATTTTTAGTTTATTTTTAGAAAATGATTTAAATTTTAAAAACTCTGGAGAACATATTGATAATTTAATCTTTGACAATCAAAATGGATTTCGATCCTCTCATTCCACAGTTATTTTGTAAACTGTTGTAACACGAAAGATCATACTTCAGATAGAGGTAGCTATAAATGTTTTATCATGCTTCAGATTTAGACTTTTGATAAGTAAACTTATCCTATTTCATTGTGTTTACAAGCTCTAAAGTAAGGACTTCTACTTTTGCATTTTTTTGTTGTTGTTGTTGTTTGAACTTTTAAATGACATAACAATTTGAAAACATCTATATAGTAACTTTTGTAAATAAAATATTAAATAATGTAAGCATTTATAAGAAATATTAGAAAGAATTAAAAAAAAAATTTATATTATATAAAATAAATTTATTTATTTTAAACAAATTTGCTCTTTGACAATTATATTTCATAAAACCAGTGGTTTTATAAAAGTCTCTGGGGTTGATAGTCAAATATTCTTCTTTTTTTTTCTAGATCCTAGAGTCTTGGAGCTTGAAAAATGTCTAGAAGCTTTAAAATTTAGTAGGAAAACAATTGCAAGACTTGAAGAGCCCTGGAACCTACCATTTTTAAACTAGTTTTGATATAAAATGGTACCCATGGGCATCAGTTTTTGGGTGCAAAACTAATAGCTTTAAAAACTAGTAAATTCATGTTTAGAAATTTCTAAATATTTTTGGAGCTCCCTGACTACAAAATCCTGTCCAAAAACCTTTTTAGGACTTTTAGAATTTTTTTTTAGCATTGTAGTTTTTCAGTATTGTTTGTGACTATTATTATTTTATTTGACACCTTTGATAAACATGAGTAATCTTTTATACACTTTAAAATTTTAGAGACAACCCGAGTTGTTTGTAACTTCTGAAAGATTTTCTGGAACTCTTTGTTTGAACTTTGAAAGAGGAGATATTATTACTGCAATTAAACCTCTCAGGTTTGTGTAGCTTTTTTTTTCTATTTGTTCATAGGTCATATCTGTCTTTACTTTACAGGAAAAAAAAAGGATGAAATTTCAAATATAAGAGGTCGTCTATAAATTACATCATGCAATTTTTAACAAAATCGGACTCCCTCCTTCCTCCTCCCTCCTAATAACAAATTGTTAGGTTTTACTGATCCCCTCCCCCTAAAATTGTGCATCAAGTTTGGACCCACTTACCCCACCTCTAAATATTTTTTTGGTGGTTTTAAATATAATAATTTTTTTAATTTTCTTAGGTGCTTATAGTTAATTAATAAATGCATTTTAATACATATAAATTTTAATTTAAACTATTAATAACTTAAACTATTAATGAAAGTCATTATTTGTACTTTTTTGTATATTTTTTTTATTTATACGTGCGTGCAAATAAAAAGCCCACAATATTACTATAATTTATATGAAAAAATGTCTAAATTTTAAATTTTTTGCTGTCACAATATATTTGCACTTAGCTTCAGATGGTTAAAACCAGATATTTTGTGGCGCAGCTATCAAGGGTTGAGAGTACGAAGAAAACAAATTTTTGGTTTTTGATGTTTTTTTGTGTTTTGAGAGACTCTCTTTAAGGAAAAAAATTTTTGGATTTTAATGTTTTGATGTATTTGAAAATTATATATGTTTTAACTATTATTGTTGTTTAATTATAACTTTAAATATATAATATATTATTTATTTATTACTTATACTTTTTATAGTTTCACTCAATAATAACAATTAATGCATCCATAAATTGACTGATATGCCATGGCCGCCACAGATTGCTTGTGTTCCTCCTTCTCAGAAGGGACAATCTGTCTCTTAACAGTAAAATATTTCAAGATTCTGTAGTAATATTAATATTCTTATGTATATATAAATAAGAATATTAATATTACTACAATAGAGCAATATACCATGTTTTTATGGGTTCCATAAATTTATTTCAAGTGTCAAATATCCTGTGTTTGTAACTGTATGACTCACATTAAAACTCATTTCAAGTAAAAATGGTTTTCTAGTAAAACCTTTAAATATACAGAGATTCAAATGTTTATATGGGAGATCTGTATATCTAAGGCATCATGCATGGGTACATTGTACATGAGATAAAAATCACTTAAATATTGTAAATGCAATAACATAAATTAAATAGTATTTAAAACATTTATAAGTCAACAGATCGGTAGTACAAATTCCTATTTTTTCACATAATTTCTTGTAATTTCATGTAAGGTTTCTGTAGAACTTTATTAGTTAAAAATGTTTTTTATGGTATGAATTAAAATATGGCAATATAATATTTTTACATAATATTCAAATAAAATATTTTTAAATGCATTCATGATGCGAAAAGTTAAAGAAAATAAGAAATGGTAAACAAAGCTTGGTTTTAAAAAACTAGTTTTATATAGACCTTTATAAAACATAAAACAGTAGTGACAGAATCATCAAGAGATGTACTAGTAAAAGTACTGTCAAAGCCACTAGAAGTTGAAGTAGTATCTAAAAAAAATACCTAGTAAAAGATGTATTCTTAACAGTAGAGACAGTGCTAAGACAAGTTGATGAGGCAACAGCTCTTGTATAGAAAGAAGTAATAGTGTGGTTTTTATCTAAACTTTTCAATCTTTCCTTTAGTTGTTTAAGATGCTTCCCTTCTAAAAAGATGCTTCTCTTCTGTGCCAGACAATATCTGTTTTAAAGACATATCACTTATGCAAATCATAGAAATCATTGTTATATAACGTTACTAAAATTATAACAAACCTCTTTTTAATCTAGAAAATAAAAAAAAGTTTGAAAATAAATAAAACCTAAATAATATTTATATTAAATTGCTTTAAATAAAAAAATTTTCTTTACATATTTAAAAAACAAAGTTTTTATAAATATTTTAAAATTGTTTAAAAATATATTTAATTAGAGGCACAACAAAAACAAAAAGTGTCTCTTCCCCCCCCCTCCCCAATCCCCTAACGTTCAATATAAAGCTGTATAAATTAACAGTGACTAAGCAATCAAATAACCTCCAAAGATATATTTAATTTTTGATAAATATATTATTTAAATAGTATGATGTAATTTGTGGACTACTGCTAAGCTTTTTATTTTTTCTAATAATAATTGTCATAGTTACACTAGTATTTTTTTTTTTTTAAATTTTAGTTGTGTTGATAACAAATTTGTATTAGGTGTATATCAAAATTTGTTTGTTGAAACTATTAACTTATAAATAAAGTTATCAAATTTTATTTTATTCAGCATCGAAGATACAAATCAGTGGCTTGGGCAACATGAAGTTTCTCGACTTTTTGGTAATTTTAACAGAAGTTTATGCAATAGTTTAGATTATGAGTTTAATCAAGAAAAGAAATTAAATTTTTCAACTCAGAAAAGTGTCAGCTGTAATGACTTGATTGTGAAAAATTCTCCAAAAGAAGGTATATGTTTTTATTAAAAGAAGGTATATGTTTTTAATAACTTTTTTGCAATACTATTTTTAGATATTTTATAAATTATTGTAAGACATAAAATAAGTTCATTTGGATTGTTTTCAATTAGCTCAAGTTAATTGATATTAACTATGTAGTTAAAATAAGTAATTATAATTAGCTAACATAGTAAGCATAATTAGCATAATAAAGTAGTTAACCAATCATACTTAATAAAGTACTAGTTAACCAATCATACTTAATATCTTGCTGTTCTTAAACTAAATCTAAAATTTGGATCTTTTATCTTTGGAAGTTTTATCTTTATTGGCAATCATCAGCCTTAAAATACAAAGTCATTAATGATTAGTATATATAAAGAATTTCATTTAACTCTCTCATAATTTATCTCCCTTATAATTTATCCTCCTTATAAATTCTACATAATTTTTCTTTATCTTTCTCATTATTTATTTCTCTTTTCTATAAAATCTGGTTTAATTGATAACATGCTCATTACACAATGCTTATTGTAAAGTTTAATTGATAACTCATTAAACAATGATGTTTGTAAAATTTACAATCTGGTTTATTTGGTGATATGATAGCTTATATGATAGCTCAATACACAATGCAGTTTGTAAAGTTTATTCATACATTTGCATCTTTTTTCTCTGACTTTATTTAAGGGTATAATAAAATATTTTAAAATACATGTATGCAAGTTATGCTAACATAAATGACAGCAAAATTTAGTCTGAACTTTAAAAAATCATAGGTTTGGTGGCAAAAATAATAAGTTTCCAAGATTTTCAGGGTTAATCTAGCAACAATATCTACCTAAAAGTAGACAAAAATATTCCAAATATTTCAAAAACACAAGAATGCAGGACCAAAATAAAGAATCAATTCTAAGAGCTTTTCATGTGAATAAGAGTGTTCGAGAGATTATGGAAGAGGCATGAGTTGCATGCTCAACAGTTTTGCTGTTAAAAACATTTTTTCAATTGAGGTAATATTAGAAGAAAAAAGTGATCTGGTGGACAGAATAAAATTATTAATAACAGCCTGGTAGAAAAAAAGTTCAAATCAAGAGAAATACACAGAAGTTAATCAGAGCCATGGCCTCCAACCTCACCATTTCAGAATATTAAATGCAACATAGGGGCTAAATCTTGTGCCAGAACAAAAACATTTCTGTAAAATGAAGGTTAAGAGTCTGGGAAGAATTAAGAAAGTTTTTTTGAATTTTGAAGAAAAAACCAATCATTCTGTTTTCAGATGAAAAATATTTTACATATCTTTAAACATTTAAGTCTCCTTCAACCCTGTGTGTTCATATGTCCCTGAAATAATCAAAACAGTAAGTCAGGCTAAGTACCCTAGTCATGATGTTTGACGTGGTAGCTTCCAACAGCCTCAGTTGTCATATCATTCTTTTTTATTACAAATAGGCTTCATAATAGGTGCAAAAAATTATTAAGATCAAGTTCTCAAGTTCTATATGCTCCCTTGACAACTTTAAGAGTAAGGATATTTTGTTTTTACACAGAATGGTGCGCTCTGTCACACAACAAAATTCATCCTGACATTCAGTTTTGAACTTCATTTGAAGATGTGGTAAATAGACCTTTATAAAATTTTTACAAGACGAAATGATATTATAAAGTGAATAACTGAACTAAACCATATCAATTAAGTTAAAATAAATACAAACTAAATATAAAACAAAATAATTACTAAATCGTATAATTTTAATTAAAATTAAATTTAAACTAACTTTAAACTATAAAATTGAAAAATTAATCAAATAATTCCGCGTAAACAATTAAAGTTAATCAAAATTAAATATAAACTAAAAATAAATTGAATAACTCTACTAAACTGTATAAATTAAATTAAATATAGAAAGAATATTTGTGCTAAATCGTATAAGTTAAATTAAGCTAAATATAAGCAAAAAATATAACGAATCATTCCACTAAACTGTGTAAATTGAATTGAACTAAATATAATCTAAATATAAAATGAAGAAATAGATCTACAATAGATCAAATAAATTAAAATTAATATAAGCTTAATATAAAACAAATAATTCTACTGTATAATTTAAATTAAACCAAGTATAAAACAAATAATTATAATAAGCTGTATAAATTTATCAGTATTTAATAGCAACTTGTTTCTTTGCGCAGTCTTGTTTGACAAAGTTTGTGTTTTGGAGTTATTGAGTTGAGAGAGAGTTGTAACCACAATTAAAGCAGCCTCCTCGACTGTAGTAGCTTCTCAGCCTTGGGGAGGTGAAATAATATTAAAAAAAAATAAATTAATTTAAATATAAAATGGTTATTTGTTCTAAACTATTTAAATTTAATTAAATTAAAAACAAACTAAACCATATTTTCCATATTCCATCATGTTTTCTATATAAGTAATTAAAGATTGTTGTTCTAGTTGCAAATATTCAAAATTGGATCTATATCCTTTTAAAATTATGACTATTTCAATTTACCCTAATCTTTTTATCACCCCATAGATTATGTAGTTCACTTCCTTTTAACTAGCTGTGCTAACTTTCTTCTGAACATCTGTTTTACATATATAACTTTTTTATACTTTCTCTAATATAGATCATTCACTTCATTTGTCTCAAGCGTTTATAGATAAATATGTTCACTGTTACTTGTTTTTGTTGCAAACTTTATAGTGAGGTTATTACATAAAAAAAGCTATTAATACATGTCCTATCTAAGTAGGTTTTCATAACTTTCTAAAGAGATTTTTTATTCAATTAGATTGGCTATTCGAGCCAAAATTTTTTTTAAAATGTATGCATATTCCACTGTGCTTATCTGTATTTAAGTCAGTCAATGGGTGCACAATCCATTGTGTGTATAGTTATTAAACATTCTTGAAATATTGAAATAGACTGTCTGCCCAAGCCAAAATCTTCAGTCAATCCATAGTTCACTGTGGATATCCTTATTTAATTTAATCAATATTTAATCCATTGTGTGTATACTTATTAAACTAGAATATCTTTTTATGAAATATTTATCATGGTTTTATATAGTATTATCTAATTTATTTTTGAAACTTCAATCAAGTAATTTGGATGAAAGTTATATTTCATAAAGTATTTCAAATTAATAATCTACACTAACTCTTTTGACTTTATAATTAATAATTTCCTCTGGACATCCATCTAAGTTAGTGTAATAACTATAATAACTATCAACTATTTTTGTTATTTTTGTTATTTTGCTATTTATGTTTCCCTTTTGTGCCTAGTTTTTATGCCTGATACTAAGAAATTTGTCCTATTTTATAAATAAATAAACTTTATTTATTGATGTGACTTGCACAAGACACAAAAACATTTTATATCTAGCAACAACAGACATCTCTACATTGTCTGTAGTTGTCATCATTGTCTCATCAGGTCCACTCATCTTATCCACATTTTTGTTCCATGCAAACCTTAAAATTATTAATCTTCAACATAAACCATTATAAATTTCTTGTGTGATATCATTTTTTGTATTATTTAGTGTTCTAATGTAATGCCATAACAAAATATAATGTCAAAGTTCTAATCAAGAGTTACTGTTCAAATAGGAACAGTGAAAAGTTTTCACTATCTTCTTTACCTATCTTCTGTACCTATCTTATGTACCTATCTTATGTACCTATCTTCTGTACCTATCTTCTGTACTTATCTTCTGTATTTTTAGTTGTTTAAAGTAAAAGTCTCAGTATAAAGTCTTTAGCCAACATTTTCTGGTTTTTTGCCTTCTTTTCAAAAGCATCTAAAGTACCAGATAATAAAAAATTAGACTTATTTAAATATTCTATAAGGTAAATCAGGGTTTCTTATGCTTTAAATTCTTCATTTTTAAAGCTTGATATAAGTCTTTGCTTATGTCAGATTCATAAGATTGCAGTCTACTTAAAACTAAACTAAATTTTTTTTCTTTTGTAAACAAATTTAAGTTTCTACATCAAAGTTTAAGTTTCGACAACAAAGTTTGAGTCTTGATCAAAAAAGTTATATCGCTCCATATTTTACAGGCTCTTAAGCCTAACTAAATCTTTAAAAATTTGCAGCTCGGAATCTGATATTGTTATTGAAGACTACACTTTGCTAAGAGCCTTTTTAAAGCATTTGCTTAACTTGACAAAATGTTCAACCATATCAAATAATGAATTCCAATGTGTTTTGTAGTCCAGAATAATTTTAAGTTCATTTACAAATTCTGATTTTACATGCTTTTGCAAAATATTATTTTTTTAGCAGGTGATTATGTTAACATTTTTTTTTTTATTGAAAAATAGTTTACAAATAGCAGGTTTTTCTGAATTATTTTTAAATTTAATGTTGCCTAGCTCTTTACTTTAATTAAACTCTTCACTATTACCTGCTACACTAATTATCTGCACTATCATTATCAACATTATTGTTTTGGTCTAAAGTTCAATTGGTTTCACATAAAGTACATCAAGTACTGCTAAATAGGTTACATGGGCATAGCAGATTTAGTTTATTGGTTTAATTAAATAGCCAAATTTAACAGTAAAATCATCCACTGTCTGTAGTTGTAGCAACATTTTTAAATTCCAGTTTAGATTCACCTAATACTTATTATTTTAACAGCATTTTCAGATGGCACACTCTCAAAGACTTATTTAACTCGAAGATTATAAACGTTTTTGAAATGCAAATTAACATAACGACGTCTAATATTTTTATGTCTTAATTTTTCTCTTAGTTAAGTTTTAATATCTTTAGCGTAAGCCAGTAAAATACTTTAATAAAAATTGGAAAATTTTTTTTCTTTTATTATTTTACTTAAAAGTGACGCAATTGAAAAAAGTTTTTGCATTTTTTAAAAAACTGGAAGGTATTTTTTGACTTTTGGCTAAAGCTGATTCCTGTCATCTCTTACTAAAAGTGTTAAATGAAAGTCCATCAATCGGATGAAATCTGTTAGTATAGTGGAAATAATATC